TAATTTATTTTATATATATATAATAATTAAATTATATAATAATAATAATAATAATAATATATATTATATGAATATATAAATTATAATAATTAATTAAATTTAATTTATTATATATTATATTACATTTTATTTTATAATATAATTTATTATATTATTGTTATATTATTATTATTATTGTATTATTGTATTATCGTATATTATTATTATTATTATTATTATTGTTTTATATTATTACATATATTATTATTTAATATATTACAATTTATAATATATTTTATTGTATATTTAAATATATTATAATTTATATATAATTAATTATAAATATAATTTATGTAATAACATTAAATAAATATATCAATTAAATAATTAAATAAATATTTAAGTATATAAATATATATAAAATATATTATAATATATATGACTTTATTTTATATCTATAATAATTAAATTATAACATAATAAGTTATATAATAATAATAATAATAATAATAATAATAATAATAATAATATATATTATATGAATATATAAATTATAATAATTAATTAAATTTAATTTATTATATATTATATTATATTGTAATTTATAATATAATTTATTATATTATTGTTATATTATATTATTATTGTATTATTGTATTATTGTATTATGTATTATTATTATTTTATTATTAATATTGTTATATTATTGTAATTGTTATATCATTATATATATTATACAATATATATATATTATAATTTAATATATTACAATTTATAATATATTTTATTATATATTACAATATATTATAATTTATATATAATTAATTAAATATAATTTATATAATAAAATTAAATAAATATATCAATCAAATAATTATATATAAATGATCATCATCATCATCATCATCATCATAATAATTATGAAAATATTTAACAATTATAATTGTTAATATATTATTTATAATATAATATATATATATATATATATATATTATATTATAAATAATATATTTTATATAATCCAAGAGATGATGATGATGATCATAATCATCATCATAATGATTATTATTATTATTAATATGATTTTGTTTTTCTTACCTTGGCAATTTAATCTCGTTTTAAAAAAAATAATTATTTCTGCTTCAGTTGTTGCGTTGTTCCACGTAGTATCTTTATCTTCAGTATCTTATGTATTTTCTTTATCTTCCTTTATCTTCCTTTATTACTATTTGTCATCCTCATGTATACTCATTTTTATTAAAAACAATTAAATATTGATATGTATAAACAATTCCATGTAAACAATTCTTCCGTTTTGATTTTTTTCTTTTCTTTGCTTTCTTTAACTCACACACACATAAACCCACACACTCACTTTAACCCTTTCACTTATTCATTCATATCAACCCTTAAATATTTCAAACATCTTATTATCTCATCCCCTCCCCTTAACATCTGCAATTTCAACACAATCGATGACCGCACAATTATTAAAAAAAGAAATTGACAAAAATTTTTTAAACCAAAACAACATCCATTTTTTTTTTACAATTAATTTTTATTATTCTATTGTTGATATTTTTTTATGTCTCTCTTTATTACTAACACTATTATTACTATTATTATTATTATTATTATTATTATTAATATTATTTTTTTAATATGGAATGATTGGTTATTTTTTTTTTCATTTGATTAAATTAAAAAAAAAAAAAATAAAACGCACAACGGATGATCACAATTATTCAATAAACCACCCCACCATTCAATTTCATTCACGATTTATTGCTATTAATTTCTTATTGTATTATTTTCCTCCTTTCCTTCTTTATTATTATCACAATTATTATTATTATTATTATTATTATTATTATTATTATTATTATTAATAATAATTGTTTGATATGGAATGATATGTTCCTTTTTTTCTTTGGATTAAATAAATAACACACACCACCACGCACACGCACACATAAAGAGGATGATCACAATTATTTAATAAACACCACCATCAATCAAATTCTTTCCACGATTTATATTTCTATTAATTTCTTCATGTATTGTCGTTTTCTTTTTCTTTCTCTAACAATTATCACTATTATTATTATTATTATTATTAATATTAATAATAATTTTTGTTAGATATTTAACGCGATTTTTCCTTCTTTTTCTTTTATTTAAATAAAAATTCAACGATATTCTATTATCCCCTTTTAAACGTAACAGTCCATCATTGATTGATATGATTTTTCTATTTCTATAATTTTCCTCCTCACATAACTCTCTTTCACTACTTCTTCTTCTTCTTCTTCTTCTTCTTCTTCTTCTATTAATTATTTTCTTCCTCATCGACAAATCAAATTAAAAGAAAAGAAAAATAAAAATAAAAAAAAAAAAAAGAAAATAAAATAAAATCAATTCAAAACAAAATATTTAAATCTCACGAATGACAATGATGATCAAACTTTTCATCAGAGGGGTTTGTGTGGTTGTATGTTTTTTTTTTTTTTTTTATTAAATAATTAAATTAAATCAATCCAACCCTCCAAATGTTTTTTTTTCTAATATATATATATATATATTGTTTTTTAATAGTGGTAGTGGTGGTGATGGTGGTGGTGGTGGTAGTTCATGGTCCTGAATGCAGAACCAGCAGACGCGGAACGATGCACCAGACTTCTTCTTCTTTATCCGCATCTCGAGCTGTGCGGTCGAAATGCTTTTTACTATGCGCATGCGCATTACCTTTTATACTTCGTGAATACTCGGCTTGGTTCACTCACTTCGGTTATTCTCACTGTCTCTCTCTACCGTTCGCTCGCTCTCTCACTCGTTCGTTCTGTTTCTATCTCACTCATTCACTCGTTCTGTTTCTGTCTCTCTCACTCATTCGTTCGTTCTGTTTCTATTTCTTTCTCTCTCACTCTCACTCGTTCGTACCGTTCGTACGTATTTCTATCTCTTTCTATTTCTATTTCTCTTTGTTTGTGTTAGAAAGAGACACAGATACAGGTAATATATAGGGAAAAGAAGGACAGAGAGAGAGAGAAGGGGATAGAGAAAATGGAAGGGATTATCCAATAGATATTTGCATTGAGTTCTAATTCAAAGAGACATGCAAAGAACTTTTAGCAATTGTTTATAAACGTATTAACAATTGATATTGTTAATAATTTTAATATTTAATAATGTTAATAATTAATATTGTTAATACGTTCTTTTATTCTTCTTCTTTATCTTTTACTTTCATTTCATTTTTATTTTTCTTAATATTTTGTTTTTATTATTAATTTTTTTTTTTTCCTAACAAATTATTAACTTCTTTTGTTTTTTTTTTTATTGGTTATTTTATAGAAATTATACGAACTTATAAATTAGATTTCTTTTTCTTTTTTATAATATAACTTAATTTATATATATATATATATATATATAAATAAACTAATATTATTATATTAGTTTATGTAATTTATGAAATTAGTTAAATTAGGTTATGTTGAAGTTTATTTCTATTCATTTTTTTATAATATAACATAATTTATAAATATATATAATTATTGTAATTATTATGATGTATTAATTATGATAATATTATATTGTAATACTATTTAAATTATAATAATATAAAATAATATAAAAAATAAAATTATATTATATTACATTAATATTTTAATTATAATAAATACTAATATACTTAACTCTATAATACTATTTAAACTATAATATAAAATAATATTATATTGTAATAGTATTTAACTTGTAATAGTATAAAATAATATTATATATATATATATATATTATAATACAATAATATTAAAATTATAATAAATACCAATATACTCTACTCTATTATACTATTTAAACTATAATATAAAATAATATTATATTGTAATAGTATTTAAATAATAATAATTTAAAATAATATTATATTAAAATAATATTTAAATAATATATTAATATAAAATAATAATATATTAAATTAAAATATTTAAATTATAATAATATATATATATATATTAATATTTATTTGTTAATTTTCAATTTGAAATAATCTTAAAAGAAAACACCTAAAGCATTGAAACTTTTACGAGTTTGATACAGGTGTACGATATAAAATAAATAATAGATCTCATAGCACACACACCACACACACACACACACAACACATATACACACAGACACATATACACACTTGGTAAAATTAGTACATACATACATATTATACTATTTTTGCACGATCGCAAAATATTTCCCTAAATTTCGATCAATAAATGCGTATTACGTAAGTAGACGAAACAACCCTCTTTTGTTAACAAAAGTAAGTAGATCCTAGAAGAAAAAAAAAAAGAGAGCATTGAGGTACATTGTTCGAATTTTAAAGGAAGTGGGAGAAGAATTCAAATATAAGTCCCTTACCTAAACTGGATTTTCTTCTATTCTTCCCTACGAGTTAGAACTAGAATGAAGAAGGGATCTTTACTACTATTCAATACAACAAAACAACATTTATTCAAAAGCAAGAAAAGGTTTTGCTTTTGTGTTCCTGAAAAAGAAATTTAAAATAAGATTCCTTTCCTATTATAACGAATATTTCTGTATTATTATTTCTATGTTTATTTTATTAAATAAATTATTTTTTTATTAGGCACCTTAAGTAGATTTTGCTTTTGTATTCAAAAGTAGTGAGGTTTTTCCCGATAAGTCCTTAGGGTCTCGTCGGATAAGTCCGTAGGGTCTCGTCGGATAAGTCCGTAGGGTCTCGTCGGATAAGTCCGTAGGATCTCGTCGGATAAATCCGTAGGGTCTCGTCGGATAAGTCCGGAGACCGAGAATAGAAAAAACTGTATAGCTATATTCCGTCTCATTCCCTCGCAGTCTAAATCCTATGTTTGTCACTTTTTCTCTCATTATTTAGTATGGCAACCGTTTCATAGCTTCGTTACATAGCTCCGTTTCCGTTTATTTACTTTTCATATCACTCCCATTCTAAAGAAGTTTTCACTTCAATAAAATTTTTCTTTTGCTATTAACAAGTATTTCAATATTATTATATATTTCTATTTTTATTATATAAAATAAATTATTTTCTAAATTTATTTATATTATAATATATTTTTTATTATATAATATATAATATAATATATTTTTTAATTATATAATATTTATTTTTATTATAATATATAAATTATTTTAGAAAATAAAATAAATATATATTTGTCTGTGTAAATGTTATTTAACGTTTTTATAATTTCTAAAGTTATCCCGAAGAAAATATACACAAAAATTGAGCTTTATACTTTAACAAATTTAAGGTACTATTTTATATACCTTTACTACCTTATTATACCTATTACCTTATCCAAGTAACCACAATCCAAACTCTACAATCACTGATCGTTTTTACCTGTATAAAGGACATGTACAGAAAAACCTTCTGCTTTTATAAAATAACGAAGATCTGACCGTCGTGGGCTCTTGCTGTAGAATTAATTTAGAAAAATAGTATAAGTAAAAGATATATATACAGTACACACACACACACACACACACACACGTTCTTACCGGAAATCATTCATTAAATAATTAATCTCTCCCTCGATGTATTATATTTATATATGTACAACGATATAGCAAAGTCGAGTTAAAATTATTTACTTTCGTATTAAAACCTTTATCTCTCTTTTTTCTTTATCGATAATTTACAATAAACAAATTAATATCATTATTTATTTTCATTATATTTATCATATTTTTTCTTTTTATCAAATTATTCTATTTACACAATGAATAATTTAATTAATAACATTAAATATTTTTGATGAAATTAACATAAATTGTATTTAATTATTAAATCGTTTAAAAGTTAACCTAACATTTGTTTTTTATATCATTCGTTTATACAAAAACCAAAAAAAAAAACAAATTTATTAACATATATAATTGTAAAATTATATACATGGTGTACAGGGCCGTGACGTAACAATTCGACCTATCTTCTCTAATGTTGAATTTAGCCACCAGATAGCGTATTCAAGTGCTAGAGATTAAGGACCCTATAGGAGGGACGCGCCATACACATTGCTGGGGGACAGAAACTCGTGCAGTCACGTGATTGCGCGCGAATGACTCAAACATTTTAGTCTGTAAATAAACGATAAGTTTGTTAAGACAAAACAATTACATATAAATATCACAATAAAAACTATAAGTATTCCAAACTTAAATTAACCACAGCTGTTAATACATACTAAAGATAAACATGGCTGTGCTATGCAACGGAAGCTGTCCCCACACATTTTCAGCTTAGCAATGTACATGGCGCGTCCCTCCTATAGGGTTCCTAATTCGACCTATCTACTCTAATGTTGAATTTAGCCACCAGATAGTATATTCAAGTGCTAAAGATCCCACGTGACGTAGCAATTCGACCTATCTACTCTAATTTTGAATTTAGCCACTAGACAGCGTATTCAAGTGCTAGAGATTCCAATAATCAAGTTTACATTAGAAACGTCGATAAAATAGAAAACTGTACACGTATGGTAAAAGAACATTTAAAGATTTGAAGAACTAATACTAAAAAAACAATCATTAATTATTATCATTTCTATCTAACTAATTAATTAATAAATAAATTAATATTATTAATATTCTATATGATAGAATCAATAGCAAAAATAAAAGGGGATATAAATTTTTAAATTTAATTTGCATACGAGAATAGAAAAAATAAACATCGACGTTTCGTGAAAAAAAAGAGAGAAAAAGAGTCACATTTATGTAGATCCAGTAGTAAAGAAAATATTGATCATAGAAGTTAACTACTTTGCTAGAATAATACATTCAGTCTTTGTACGTACTTATGATCGTGTGTGCACATACATTTTCAAATCCTATTTAATATATAAATTTAATGATGTCAAGTAAATTTGTAACATTTTTCATAACATTTTTAACACTTTTGCATAATATGCATAGTAAAATACTACGTGGGACTCTCGTAACGCGTGAAGTATTAAAAAAAAAAAAAAATTTATAATAATTTTACAATAATTGTTTTGTTTTGATTTTTTTGCAAACAGAAGCTTGTTGCTACGTATTTAACAGAAATATATTTCGTGTAACATTTTATACATCATTCGTAAAAATTTTCATTTGAAATCTACAAAAAAAAAAAGAATTATAATTATAATTATAAGAAAAATAAAAACGCGTATGCGTTTTATAAATTAATTAATTATGTAATACAAGTGTAATATTAATAATAAACAAAAATATTATCTAAAATGTATTAAATAATATTATTTTAGAAAATATGTTTAATCGATCAATTTTGTTAATAAACAAATTAACATACATATATTATATGTATACATATATTTGTTTTACAGAATTGGGCCTTTCTCGCGAGATTTTGTTTTCTCACAGAACAAGGCACTTTTCGGTACGATTTAGAAATAAGAGGTCAAGACACATCTGTAAATCTTTTGTTGTATTATGACGCACCTCATCAATGGCCAACCGTATATCCATCTAATAAGACTTGCAAAGAAAAAGAATCTATTTTAAGTATTGCAAATGGTCAAATAGTACAACTATCAACAATAACATCGGAAAGTTCTGGATGTGTTTTAAAAAATGATTCATCGTTACATTGTAAAAGTTACAGAAGATTTCAATCGTCTAGACCAATGTGGTGGTTTATCGTATTATCAGATTGTTATACAAAAACAGGTTTAAATGTTACGTATTGGATTTCATTGACAAATGGATCACCAGGTAACATATGGAAAGAACATCTTTCTGCGGATGAATTTTGCAAGTATTCTTTTTTGTTTTTCTTTACAAAAAAAAAAAAAACAACAACAACAACAAATTCTTTCTTCATTTAACATTACAAATATTTTTCTAAATTATTGTTCTTATTAATTACAGACATACTACCAGAATTATTAATAGCGGCTTGTATTTATGTAGTACTCGTCATATTAAGCTTTTACGTAGCTGTACAATTACGTTCAAGAAGACTTTTACACGTTTCATATAAATTATTTATGGGTTCTCTTCTTTGTCAATTAATGGGCATATTATTAGAAATTTACAGTTATCTTAATCTCGCATTAAGAGGAGTTCTTATAACTGGTGCTTCATTAGTGGGTCATCTTTTAGAAGCATGTTCAGAAACGTTATATACAGTGCTTATGTTATTGTTAGCATTTGGTTATACAATAACCAAAAGTACATTGACACCTAAACAAATTCGATGGCTTACTTATTTCATTTGTCTTAGTGCAGCTTGTCAGCTGGCATTGTACGTTTATCAATTTGAAATCTTTGATCCTGGTTTAATCCTTTATATCTACGAATCACCACCAGGTTATGGTTTAGTAGCATTGAAGTTAATTGCATGGATTATATTTGTTCTTCGTTGTTTTAAAACAACTAAGAAGATGACAAAGAAGGTCCATTTTTATGCCTCGCTACTTTCTTTAGGGTCAGCATGGTTCCTGTGTCATCCATTAACGGTACTTGTGATTAAACTTATTCATAAA